CCCCTCTCCTCCCCCCGAACTAAGACACAAAGCAAAGCTGGCCAGGTGTCTCTAAACCACAGAGCCAGCTGCTCCTAACCAAGCTCACAGGAAATAGCAAGGAAAATATGCAGCATTTGACACATCTGGAATAGATTGCAGAGTCTTTGAAAACAGTGTCCCAATTCCCTTCCTCCTGCTGATGAGATTTCAGGCTACCAAACTGCTGCATCAACTACAGAGGATTAGATAACATGCGTACATTTTTAACCCTACAGATTCTTTCTGCCCAAATTACAATTTTCCCAAAGTAGTCCAGATTAAAAAAAAATAAAAATAAAAAATCACAACAAAACCAAGTATCTAAATGAAGCTTTTTCCAAAATGCAGTGGGGCAAACAGAAATAATTCTTAATTCGGGAAAATTTATATAGTTGGAAAATTGTACAAAAGTTGATACTGGTAAACATAGAAAATGAATCAATATTGCCTGCTTTGCACAGCTGTATTAACTCATTAAAAGAAATGTCCTTGCAGTTTGTCACCATAAAACATGGGATGCAAAGGAGGAGGGTAAAGAGGACTGCTTAACACTTATTTTGCCAAGTAAGTCGTCTATAATTCCACGTTGACGCAGACAATGCAGTTGCATTTTTCAATGTGAAGTACAAAAAAACCCCAAAAGCCTAAGTCTTAATTAGCAAAACAAAGCAATGTTTTATTATCCGCTTCTTTTTCGTATGGACAATGAATGCAAAAGAACACAGAAAAATAGGTAAGTTTAGAATGAAATCCCAATTGGATATTGAACATAACACTTAATTTTATTCTTTCCACAAAAAGCTGGGAATTGGAGGTGCCTCTAAAGTTTTAGTCACTTTCAGTATCACTGAAAGATTAAGAAAATTAATAGTGTCACCAGTTTACATATGTATATTTTAAACATTCATTATAGATACAAAACTGAATACAGCACTAGCGTAAAACAACATAAACCTCACTGTTTTTAATGTTAGTAATAAAAAGGCAAAATTCTAATATAAAAAAAAAAAAACTGGAGGAAAGTATTTGTATTTTTTTCCTCAAAGGTGCAACCAACAACCAATGTACTTTTGCAACTGAGATTCCAGTTGTGTAAAGGACTGAGAGATGTATTCTCCTACTTAAGGAGAAGCAAAAATTTCACAAACTTTAAAGGAAACCACACATGCATGAACAGTAGACAGAACCCCTTAAAGGGATTATATTTATAAGAAAGTAATGGCATACTTTAAATGAATACTGTGAGAGGTGCAACATACATTTTCTGCTTTCAGAGCTTTGCAAGTAAGATTTTTCTTTTCCTTCATAGATTATTCCAAAAATTATCTTACATTTAAATTAGTTTACTCTTAGAAAATGGCAAAGTATTTCTTCTAAACAAGCACTGTTAAGATAGCTATATGAATTTTTTTTGAGAGGCCCTCAGGGTGGATATTGTATTTATACTGAACTCAAGATTCTTAAACAGAGCCAGTGTTATAACCCAGGGAATACCCATTTGCAATACTCTGTTTCAGGAAAAAAGGTGCACCTACGAGGATCCAATGGCATAACCAAGGACTAAAGATGTAAGGCTGTCCATCCCTGCTAAGATGGACAAACTCTATCTTTTAATGAGATCATGCATATGAATAACGACTTTCAGGCTGAAGCCCAAACCAGTTAATAATAATTCATGTGAGGACAGTTAGGATGAGACAAACAATTCAACGTCTTTACCTCCAAAATTACATCTAATAGTAACTATACCCTTAATAGCCAATTAACAAAAAATATGTATGTAGCTCTAAGATTAAACAAAATTTAGAGAATATGCTGTTACAAAATATATTTTGACATATTTCCTAAGAAGCAATTCAAACAGTCATTTATGCAGAGTTATTTACAGGGGACTCAAGTGGAGTATCAGTTTTAAGCAAACCAGTATATTGGTTTGAATTTGATAAAATATTGGCAAATACAAGTTTGTGACAACAAGGAACTTTGGGGTTTAGTAAACTCAAAACTCTATAACACAATCATTAGATGAATTTAATTATATAAAAAATTGTCTGAACTGGTTAATCTGAATCATTTAATGCATTTCATTCTACTCAAAGTTCAGATCAACAAATCAGTGGTAGATACACACTGTGAAACAAGTTACCACTTGAATCTTTCAGATATAACAAGCGCAGATTAACCGAGTCTGATTGTACCTAATCTATAATAACAGATGGTTTGTTCTTACTTCAATACTAACTTTTTAATAAGCACATATACAAATGTGCTAAAACAAAAGGCAGCAATTTAAAATATTCTCTAGAATGACCAGAACTGGTGTTTGAGCATAAACCATCCTGTCACTCATTTTTGAAGCCGTATCTTCACTAATTTGTCGTCTGGTTTTAGTAGTCTTCTATCCTATTAACTCAGAGGGTTACAGATCATCTGGAAGTTTCACACCGGTATAGGGAAGGAATGTCTGTCTGATGCAATCTGGAGATAAAGAAAAAGTTGTACTTCAGTTCAACGCAGTGATTCACTAGAAATAGCGTTGCTAACTGATGTTAAAACCTAGAAGCAGCAAAGCAGAAACCTTTTTCTTCCCCATGTCAGGATGAGAGAAAAAAGCAAAAACTAACTGTTATTTTGTTATCATTTCAAAAGAACATCTGAGGATATCTTGTCACTGTAGAGGTAATATTTGTTATTTATTAAAACTAATGGTCACTGTAGAGGAAGTTACCTGTCTATGCAAGAACAAGGAATTTTAAGTGTGATAGCAATTAATTTGAACATCTTATTTCAATACTTAAGATGCTTAAAAATATGTATATATTTTTACATATCCAGCTCCCTAAACACACCACAGACCTTATAAGTCCATATATCTCAGTGATGCCTACAGGTAAAGCAAAAATTCAAAGCCACTGAACTCAGATAGAACAACTCACTAACTTCAGTTAATGCTGAATTAAATAGCATTTTGTCCCAAAACAGACCTTTACCTTGAGAAGGGCAAAGATTCTCAGACCACATTATTCTACAATCTGATTCTTCTCTTCAAGCTACAGTTTTCAAATACCAATTAGTCCTAACAATTTTTTTTAAATAGTATTTTTAAAGTTTATTGTACTGAAAGCTAACAGATATTTTCAGTCTTGTCTCTCTGAGTTCCGGTGTTCCGAAGAGGTTATCACATTACTAAGAAAAGGAGTGATATGTAACTATTGTAAAAAAGGAAATGTTGCCGTGTAGATGCCAATTTAGGGTGGTTACCGAAAGGCAATATATGTCTCAGTTATTTAACTTACCACATAATTTTGACAAAATGGCACTTTAAGAAAAAAAGATTCTGTTACAGTTATGTTAACAGACTTCTTCCGTGATCAAGAACTATATCATATAGCATAGACATTTATCATTAGCTGTTTTTAAGTATATATCACTGTCTTACATAAGGAACCTTTTTTTCTAGACAAATACTGTCTCAGTTTTTTTCAGGCTTCAACCATGTGCTGCTGGTTACATCATACTGACCCTGTGACCAAATCTGCTTTCTTATGGCAAACATAGCTTCTCAGTTAAGTGAAAATACAGTATTTAAGCATTTTAAGTAAACTGCAGAGTAATGAAAATGCTACAGTATTTATTTCTAGGTTTAAATTTATCTTGTCATGCAGTTTCAGCTTCTTTCAAGCAAAAGAAGTTGAACAGCAACAGAGACCCCTGGTTTAAGTTACATAGTGAAGTCCAATAGATCCACCTAATGGATAAAAAGTATTATAAGGAAAAAAAAATCCCACAAAAAACCAAAAACCCAAACAGTGGATATGCGCCAAACTGATTAGTCATCTACCTGAAGGATATATAAAGCACCTTGTTGCATACACAGTAATCATACTTGTACATGACTGTCTTAATCCAGTCATGTAAAGAGAGACCGTACTCATCTATTGTTTGCCTGTTCAGACCCATGTAAATCAGATTTAACGTGCAGGCAGATTAGTGCTTCCCAACTTGCTGACAACAGGTTGACTGCTGAAGCCAGTTTTCCCAACACAAAGGACGGTATCCTGACAGGCAGGAGATACTGTTTCTTGCTTAGGAAAAACAACAAGTTCATAGTCGTTCTTGTTACTGAACATTAGTTCCAGGGAGGACTGGAGGCAACAAGGATCCATTATTTACTTTCAAATTTCATATTTTCAATTAACTTTAGATATTTCCAAGTCCATGCAGAATACACACAACATTTATGACAGATGTTCAAAACCCATGCAACTTCTGGTTTGTAACAGAAGTTTGATTATTTATTTTTAATATAAGTATTTCCTTCTTCTCAGTTCTCCTGGCAGAATCTTATCACTAAAAATTGCTTACCTTCAGTACAAGAAAAAAAATCTTGTTCTGTGAGCAGCTGCCATGCTTTCAGACATATTTCTGACTTTAAGATAATTAACAAAGCCTCGAAAGAACAGGAGGAGCCCTGAAAGAGTAGAAAATGCACAAAATTAAGTATATCAACCTAAGTACACACTATCCCACGTTATTCTTGTTAATTTTTTTTTAAAATCTAGATTATACTAAGTAAAGTGAGGTCTTTATGCATCATTCACAAATTCAACAAGCAAGTCTTCTGTTTTTACCTTGTGATATTAGGATACAGCCTTATGGAAGGCTTTTCAGAAATTCTGCACTCATTCTGGGTTCAAGTATCATCTGCTAAAGACTGCAGGAAAGAACTTAAGAAGAAGAAAAAAAAAAAAGGAAAAGAATATATGCTGCACATTCTTTTCAAGTAGAATTCTTAAATAATTTAGGAGTGTGTTAGAAGACCACCTGAACCACAAAATGTACCTTTAGAAATATATTTAAAAAAAAAAAAAAAAGAGACAAAAAAAAGACAGATAGTACAGATTGCTCTAGCAACAGGCCAATAATAAATTATAGTAGATTATGTACGGATAGGGATTCAACCATCCAGGAAAACGCACCAGTCCAAGAGAAGGAAGAACAACAGTTGATTTAAAGAAAATTACTCAGCATGTGTTATGATTACATTTTTTTAATCAACTCTATATTTAAAATTATTTTCAAATATTTAAATTTAACTGCATTTGAAATAATATTTCAGCTCTGATAAGAGGAACAGGAGATACAGAACAGTCACACAGAAGTTACAGCTGCAACAATGGAAATCACTAACATGATGTTGTCAGCATCATTTTACCAATTCAGAGATTCACTGGACATCTGAACAAACCAACCCAGAAAAACACATTGTTGCACAGTGGACACAGCTCTTCAGTCCATTTTCCTCCACTAAGTAAATTTCAACAGATTAATCCGTTCACCCAGTTGGATCAGGGAGAATCCAACAATCTGCTCAAAGAGTTGGGGGAGTCAAAATCCGAATTCCACATCCAGTGGAGAGAAACACAAGCCTAGAGAGCAATTCTCCTCATTTAGCAAACACACAGGTACTTTGAAGATACACCTATGTGTATATTTCCACGTATACATTAAGATTCTGAAGGTTCAAATGAAAACCTAAACTGAAGTGTAACGAGTTTAGCAAAGGATTTAATCCTTTTCATCACCTTACATCCTAATAAACAATCTCTGTGGTTACATTGATATTTTGCTATGTGATGTACTTTTCCTTCCTGCTCTCCAGGTTGAGACTGATTTTTTTTTTCCCCCCTATGCTCATTTCTTCTCTAAATGCTTTTTGCTTGAAAATTTTTATTTACTTTCTGTTTGCAAACCAAAGTCCCATTAGGACACACACAAAAAACCCTCAAACACAGAGAATGCTCTGCTAACCACTGGAACTTTGACCTAAACCAGACAAATTTCTGTGATTAAGGTGAATTCCGCACAGAGAAGAAAGGACTAAGATCTGGATCAAAAGTCTGCTACAAAAGCTGCTACCCAGACGTTACCAGAGATAGTCTCATGTTCAACTGAAAAGCAGCTGAAACAGCAAAAGGTGGTCAGGCAGCTGTTAAGGTGCCTGAAAGCATAGTTTCTGCATTACACATGTTGGAAAACCAGTCCAAGTTCAACCATATTTTATATTTCTCTGTTTAGGGAAGAGAAAAAAAAAAACAAACCACTTTCCATTGTGTTCCTCAAAAAGAAACATTGGCTAACATTTAAATTTAAAAATCAGAATTGTCTCTCTCCAATCCGTCCACTGTACATGACAGCTTCTTGGAAGCAGACCACTTCACTCTTCCGTGAAGCATGAGCAGATTTTTCCAGATGTCGAAAGAAGGGAAGGGAAGCAGAAACAGGTAGGTGAACACCACAAGAGAGGAGAAGATGGTCATAGGTGGGCTCAAGTACATCAAAGGACTACGCAAAAGACAGAATCCAACTCGGTTCATTCACTTCTGAAGAGATGCAGGATGCTACTTCATGTGCTCTAATGGGAAAGTTATCCAAAACAATGAAATGTAGATCTGGTTGGCAGAGCTCCCATGACTTGATAGTACTCCTCCACGTTCTGCTAAGTAGCTCTGTTGGGTTAAATCCTTCTATGGTGTTCTAGCAATCTCGGTATATCCACTTTATCAGTTTAAAAACACTGTTGGCGTATTTCATGCAAAATATTCGTAAGACAAGGGAACAGTGACTGCTGGATGCATACCAGATGCCTCACAGTGCCTTTTATTCGAAGGCATGTTATAAACTTTGTGAGTTAAAGTAAAAGAAAATTAACCTTCAAACAGTTAAGGCTGAAGATAAGGCTTTCCTAAACTTAAGTGAGCTAAATTCTGGACAAGAACTACCAAAAAAACGAGGAAAAAGAAGTACCACCTCTTCCAGCTTTTTCCATAGACACAATGGAGGAAAATGTTAGTGGAAGAACACACTCTTTTCATCCAAGTGAAAACAGTGTCAAATCCCAATTTCAGGCACCACAAGGTTTTTTTTAATTAAATGTTTATCTGAGTTGTTTGTACCTGTAAAAAGGCATTTCACTTGCTACTTAAATGCAACCACCTCAAACAGAATGTGAAAGCATTCAAGGGGCTGGTGCTGTGATGTGTTAAACATTTGCAGTTTCTAGCAAAAGCCTGACGTTTCAAGCAATCAAGTGCACAAGAGTACGACAAGCCAAGTATTAAGAAGTCTGATGAACGTCCTCAAATTTTACTAAAAGGCAGACAAAGAAAGTTTTAGATAGCATCATTTAAGATTTCTGGCATTTCTTGTGAGATAAATAGTATGTGAGGTCAAACAGTCAGTATCTCAGTGGTTTGTTGGTTTTGGTTTATTTGTTGTTGCTGTTGTTTTGGGGTTTTTTAAAATGTACTCAACATTTCATTCTAACATTTTCTGTCAGCCATTTGATTCAATTGACTCAAAGGGAAGAGTGCCACCTACTGAACCAGCAACAGTTTACTACGTTTCCAGAGCTAGAAAATTAAATGAATAGTAGCATTCACTTCAGTAAAAGAAAATCATTCCAGATTCCATATTCAAATTACAAAATCCACAGTAGGAAAAAAGGTATAGTGGCTGGAGTTTGGTATGTTCTAATTAAAAACAGACAGAAGAGCAGAATTTGATGTGTATAAGACTTTGAACGTGGGCAGACAGACCTCTTGAGGGAAAGCTGACATCATGGGAGCACTGTGATCAGAAAGCATGAAGCCATTCTCTTGTCTGACTGAGAAACTACTGATGCAGTATGCATTTCAAAGGACTAGAAAAGGACATTGTGTGACCTATATACAAGACAGCAGACTTCCTAGGATCAGTTGCGTTTCCTAGAATTTTGATGTACAGGTTTATACATGTAAGTACCAGATATCACTCACTTTTCAGTATGCTCTCTACATAAAGCCAAAGTTTCATTACACAATTCTGCACCCTTAGATCAGCAGAAGCAGTTTGAAAAGCACAAATGACAAGCCTCAGGTATGTATTTAATTACATATGTAGAACAAAATTTTTTGAGCTGAAGGTTATTTGAACAGTCCTCAATTCACACAATAACACAACTATGGTAAACAATAATCCTGTGAATATTATGGAAATAAAAACACACAAAACTATCAGCAGCTAAAGAAAAACACATAGATAAACATGTTACAGAACTCTTACATACAATGACATGATTCAGCTTTAAGTACTTCCACATCAAAACAGAAATGATTTAAATTGCCACTTACCAAGTACAAGAAATATCCACCAAAGCCAGTACTGTCCATTGAAATATCCAGTAAAGTAATCTGAAAACTGAAATTCATACATGAGGCTTAGTTGCAGGAAGACAGATGACTAAGACACATTTAATGCAATATGCAATTACAGAAAACACAGAGGAGAAAGCAGATTTAAACAAAAGTAATATATTAAACTAAAAAGCAAAACCGGTATTTGTGCAGCAGTTTAATATACAAATAACACTTTCAGTGTCAGTTGGTCTGTGGTAAAGTTACTTTAAAACTTCTAAAAATTACATGTGTGTGTAAAAAAAAAAAAAAAAAAAAAGCATTACTTGCCAGAATTGTCTGACATTTTCTATTATAATGAATCACCACTTGTCGATTTTCCTTTTTTCCCTCCAATGCCTGCCATCCCAAACACATTACAGCAGCCTGCTGCTTCAGATATTAACACCAAAAGCCACATTAGTTTAATCTTATCAGACAGGGATGTTCTGCTGACCCCTCAAAAGAAGAGCTTTTGACCTTCTGTATACCCCCTACTGTTAATCGCTGCCAAGAATACCAGCCCCATAAAGACCCCCAACTCATTAAAGTCTTTTCATTTTCAAACCAGTATTCAGTTCCCAGCAGTGAGCTGAACGCAACTAAATGAACCTTGAAGTGGCATTTCAACTGTTCCTGTTAGTGACCATGGTAGACAGTTTTGTCCTCCCTGTGATGTGGGAGGCAGCTGGAGGGCAGGGTGAGATGGTATTGGAGACAGGTATCTGTGCCTTTACCAGACTCCAGACTGCATGCTTCACTGATAAAAAGGCTAATGAAATGTCCCTAAAACTCACAGAAGAAGTAGGAACGGGGAGATGTGCGAAAAGTGGCCACAAGGAATAAAATAACCTATTTAGTAGCTCTGCACACTTTTCACACGCTTCCCATCCTACTATCATTCAGTATGTTTACTGTATCCTGCCACAGCGCTTCCCATTTGCCATTTCTAGGACATTTCAGTAGCATCAACCAAGAAATCAAGTTATTCAGGCATGTAATTCAGTTTGCTCAAAAAAAAAAAAAAAAAAAAAAAGGAAAGGAAAGGACACTGGGCCACATATGCAAGCAGATAAAAATCCAAGACATTTAAAGAATTCTATAGTTGTTGCTTTTTCCTTCAAGTAACTGCACTGAGACTCACTTTTTCTTCAGAATAGAGCCTGATCATGCAAATTCTTTAAAAGTTTAATCCTGTACTGTATTCATTTCTATGGGCAACTCAAGGGAAAAAAAAAATAAAAAAAAAAAATCAAGAAACAGAATTGCTAAATTGAACTAAATAATCAGTACTTACATTATCCCTACATAAATACCAGCATTTCTGTGATCTGGCAGAGTAAGAATTTCATATTTTGCTGCCTAATTAAAATACCAAATGAATACACAATTCCCAAGAAGTTTACAATATTATTAATCCCATCTCACTTGACAGTATTTTAAATTCTCTAAACATATATATCAATACACTTTTTTTAAAGTTACAATTTCATTTAATTGGAAAGAAGAGGCACACTACTACTCTTACACTTTCTTTAGGCAGAAGCAGCCATGGCTGCAGAATTTCCCCAACAGCAAAACTGTGCTTTTCTTCCCTGACTCTGCCAGTAAAAACTGATAGTTTTGTACCACCGACCCTGAGTGACAAAAGGGAGCACAAGCCTTTGGAGGAGCTTGAAACAAAGGAACAGAACAATTGTGCACACAGGCATGTATGTGTGTCACTATTAAAACAAAATTGTCAACTAACACCTTATGAGCTTCCTGCTGTTGTCTCTAGAAAGGGAGACAACACAGGAAGATTATAATCTTCACTATGAAAAAAATCCATCCCAAAGGTCTTGGAATAGGTCAGCTCTAATTAGAATTAGTAACAGATTATATACAAGAATATAAATAGTTGAAAAATTCACGTCTTCTTGATCCCTTAAGATAAATTTCATCCCAAACCCTGAATTCCAACCAAATACACCAGAATCACATGTGAACCAGTAGCATTCCCCCACCTTGGAGAAGGAGAGAAAAAAAAGTAAAATCCACAAAACCAAAACTACTCTCAGCTCTAAGAATGATGCAGGACATGTCCAGGAAGGACCATGCAATCTCATCTCTCTGCAGTCCTTGTACTATCATGCTAAAACCAAATCAAGTTAAGTTACTAGCACACACACAGATTAAATAAATAAATAAATAAATAAACAAACAAATAAATAAATCAGAGTTGGCAAGGCATAAAAGATGACTAAGTTATCCAAGATCTTTTTCTTCATTAGACAGGATGAGGTTTTAAATGTTGCGTCTCACAAACACGTAGAATGCAAGTTCAGAAGGAATCATTATGTTTCATCTATCATCCGCTTAGTCAGGTAAGTAACTTCCATTTGGCTAACATACCTTTCTGAAAAGTATCTAGTCTTACAGTGAAAATATCAAGAAATTGAGCATCTAAGATAGTAAAAATGTGACTGCCTTCATATTCAATTTTTACATCATTCAGTATCTATCTTACAAGGAATAAAAGAATCAGACACAGGGAAGAAACGTTTTCTAACTCACCCCTCCCCAATAGGCTGAGACATTTATAAATCTTTCATATAGGACACTATAAAACCAGTGACATTTTAGATATTTTCTTCACTTTTTTGTATGTTTTTAAATATCTGTGCAAAGAATGAGTCATTCTGCATTTATTTTAGTGGAAAGATGAACATAAAGTGCTATGTCAGATAAAAATAGATTAAGCTTCATCATTAGTAAGCATAAATGAACATATAGCAAATAAATTCTCTACTAAAGTTGAAGTTAAGAGAAAATTCTAGGCACTCTGTTAAGCACTGGAATTTAATATACTGATTTTTAATTCCATTATTATATATCTTTGAATAAGTTGTTATGGTTTGGTTCTACAAACAGGAGTCTGTACAGTGTGAATGAAGAAACATACCCGTACAATGAGAATCCATTTGATCAGGGAGAGACCAAATCCACAGATTGCACCATACCTTCCAGCTATGGTATTTGTTATACAAAAAGATAAACAAAATCCAATCCAGTTGAAAATAAATGCCACTATAAAATAAAAGAAACAGTAGCTTCTGTTAATCTGTATAGCTAAGCAAACAGACTTAACATTAATTTCACTTTCAAACTAATAAGGACATGCTTACACAGTCAGTAATTTCCTTCTGGTAATTCAGGCTTTCAGAGATTGACTTTGAACCCAGACATTCCCCATGGTATAATCACTTAATAACAAAGCAAATGGTAAACAGGCTGGAACCTACTACTTTAAACAAGAGAAAATTCCAACATAAAAGAAAGTATTACATCGCTACAGAAATCTAACCAGATGACACTAGACATGAAGGGTAAATGCAAACAAAGGACCATAGCATACAAGACTTGGATTAAAACAAAGAAAAGAAAAAACCTTGCTACACTTTTATAACCAAAAATACAGTTATATGCACACATACGTGCATGTATCAAGGCTGCGTATTCAGCTTTATCCAGTTTGGATCGAACAGAATAAAAGTATCCGCTCTTGTTCTGTAAACATAGTATAGAAATGAAGATAAGTTGAGAAGCTAATGTTTCACTGGTTACTATCTTCTCTTTTAGATCTATATTCAAGCACGAGATATAAGAAGCCTTGCAAGTTTTACACAGAAGCTTAAGAAATCAAGACACAAAAAGGACATTGAGCATAAGTACCGCTGTTACTTCAATTAACACGTTACACAACTCCCAGTAGTTTTACAATTTAGAGTTTCAGATCTGCATATGCACTTGGCAACGAACATCATATGTATTGACTTCAGTTTGTGTGCATTAGGTCAAAGTGTGGGAATTCCCAACTAGGCGATGTCCCAGCTTTGAGAGTAAGTGAGGGCAACTAAAAACACCAAACAGAAGAGCTGGGGGAGCTGGTGGAAGATGACAATTCAGGAGTTCTGGGGAGGAAAAGACAGTGGAAAACTGAAAACATCAGCCCACGGTAAACACAAAAGTCGCTGAAGAGGCAAGCAG